TTCTAATTGTAACATAACAATCAGGAATATCTCCATCTGCAGTAGTTGAAAAAATTGCAGCAACTTCGTTAGTTCTTTGAATATTATATCTTCCGCGATCAATACCTGTTTTCTTATTTAAGAATGCCATTTTTAAATTAGGCACATTTAAACCTGAATTTTCTTGATTACAAACTTCTTCATGCATCATTTGATATGACTGAGCAAACATATTATTGCTGCGAATAATACCATCTAATGTATGTAATAACTCTTCATCAAGATTTGTATTTACATTTAAACGACATTCTGTAGCTTCGTTAGCGTCAAGAATGAAAAGCTGTCAATAACTTGATTGTTCTTGTGCAGCAGGATATAATGCAGTATTAATTTGATAATAAATTTGACCTTGAATTTTGAAGCAATAAGGACTTCGTCTTTGTGCATTAAAATTAACCAAGTTAGCATTAAAAGAGACAAAAGAAAATGCACTATTATAACTTCGCAGATTTTTAAAGAACTCTTTAGATTTTTTATGATTTCCAAAAAATAACTGTTGTAGTTCATCAGGAAATGGTGATAGAGATTCCAATATAACTTTTCCATGACTACAACAATCATTGAATGAATTACATTTATTATAAACTTTTTCAGCGTGAAAATGTTTTGCTTTACAATATTTGCACTCTACTTCCATTTTTCCTATGTAATGTTGATTTATATTATGATAATTTATGTTTTGAAATCCTTTATAATTGGCTCGACAATTTTGCATTTTTCTTTTATCTGTGATATTTTGTAATTGTATATTATCAATTTCGGAAAAATTATCATTTATATTTACTGAAATTAATTGACTTGAATCTGTAGTATTTTCAACACTTGTAAGTGTACTTTGTTCATGGTTGACAGTTTTTTTAATTATATTAACATTATCGTTATCAAGTTTTGAATTTGAAGTTATCAAAGAACTATTGCTCGATAACTTTGATATGCAGTTGTTAATTGTAGTAACAGAATTGCTCAAAGTCGACGTTGTAATAACACATTTTATTACTGATGAAGCAAGATAAATATTGTTTGTGACCAAAGGATTTTGCGATTTAGACACTGCAACTGATGAACTATTATTTAATAAATTTCTTGATTCACAAACTTTAGATGACTCAGCTATATTGTTTGTTGCATTTTCTTTTTTTCTCTCGCGGTATTTTTGTTGATTTAAAGCCTTTCGTTCTCTCTTTAATCGCTGAAATTCTTCTTCTTCCTCTCGAGTACGAATAGCTTTACGTTTACCCATTTTTAAATTATTTTAATTAAATCTTTTTTGTTAAATGTTTACACAGATCAATAAAATTTAAATATTATAAAATGTAACGAATATAAATGTATATACAAACAAAATATTTGTTTATATAAAAATTTTAAATTAATTTGTAGTTAATAAATTAAATAACAGACTATTATATAATTTTATTAAATTTTATTTAAATGAAAATAGCACACTGATGATTTAAAATTAAATAAAATATTACATAAAATAACTGTTTTTATTTTACACAGTTGTTAAATTATAAATTTCAATATTGCACTTACATTAAATATCAATTTAATAATAAATAACTATAACACGATAATATTAATTTAACATTCAAATAAAAATTTAATTTAATTTTATATAGCGAATATAATTGTTATGTAACAAGTATATGTATAGTGTTCTTGATAATAAAATATTTAAATGTAAATCAAACATTCATTAATTTCTTACAAATTTCAAATATCAACAATTAAAATATCAAATAATACTTGTAGTGTTACAACTATAATGTCAAATATTTATGTCAAATTTTTATCTAAATTTTCACAATTATGTCCAATTGTCAAATTACAAAAGCTGGATTGGAGCTTTGTTTTAGCCAAAAAATATAAGTGGCTACCAAACCTGAAACAAAATATTTTTATTAGCTTATTTATTATTTACATATATTAGCTTATTTATTATTTATATATATTAGCTTATTTATTTTTTATATATATTTGTCTTATTATGTGAAATATTTATTATTAATTCAAATAAAAAATAAAATAATACCTGAATATGCTATATTTTGCTCATATATATTCAGTTGGATCATATATATTCAACGATAAAAATCAAATATCAATCCACTGTAAAAAAAAATTAAAATTATATTAACACATAAAACTATTTAAAATTATTATTTTATCTTTAAAACAAATATATTTTTATATTATCTATATGTATATGACAATGTATTTAATAGGTATATATTATATATTATCAATTGATATTATTTTGTATTTTCAGCAAATATTTTGGCAGTGATATCATTTCTTTTCAAGAATATAGTAACAAATATATTATATAAAAAATATATGAAATGGTAATACACATTTGATCTTAAGTGTAGTTATAAAGAAAATCTCAAAGTCAACTTTAAAATTTTAAATGAAAACCCACATTTTTATTTGATATTTTTCTATACCTTATCTCGAGAGCTTTTCAAAATATTACAAAAAAATATTTTTTTATTAAATACTTTTTTTAGTTATAATATTTTAAACAGTATTTTGACATAAATTACAAAATATCTCGTGAAATGTTTAATTTTGTGTAATTTTAACATTTTATATATACATAATATTATATACATCGTATACTTAATATTTTATGCACATGAGACAAATCAATTAATGTAAATAAAATATAGTTTTTTCTTTAAGACAACTATATATATATAATTTTACCGATCCCATCCTTTTTATACTATATCTTGTATAAATTTTATACAAACTAATTAATATAAATTTTACATAAATTTTTTAAAAACTACATACAATATTAAATTTATATAAAATTTATATACATTGTTCAATACTGGTTTTATATATATAAACTATACACGTACATACGCACGCACGCATGCACGCACGATTTGAAATGGAATACTCATATATTACATATATATATATATACGCATATATATATATATATATATATATTGTATATAAATTTATTTATATATGTAGTTTTATTATGTTTACATTAATATAAAATTTATACAAGATATATGAATATATATATATATAAAAAATTTAAATATATTTAAAGTATATATATATATATATATATATATATATATATATTATATATATATATATATATATATATATATATATATATATATATACTTTAAATATATTTAAATTTTCCAATACTCAGCATATGTATTTTAAAGTTATATATTTACATAATCAATTATTAGAATATAACAGTATTTATATTTTTAAATGCGATTTTGTATTTTCTTTAATGATCTTATGATATATTATATTTCAAAATAATTTACCTTATTGTTATTTTATCTGTCACTTCATATATTATTGAAACAAATAATTTCTTTGCTGCTCGACGAGAAATTTTCAAGAATTTTTAAGAATTCTTTTAAGGTGTAACGATATCTATAACCTTTTAAGTTGTCACACACAATTAGAGTATGTAGTGTACCTACTATTTATTTTCAAATCAATTGCTACCAATCTTTAAAACTAAAAATTTATTGTGCAATAAGTTGACATGTTCAGTTGATATTACATTTGTCGTAGAATAAATTTTTCAAACGTATTAATTGGCTGTAGCATAGAAAAATTTTCGAATCTAGACATTTTATTGGTCCATCAGCACATGCATAATAAAATTCAACCAATCAAATTCTTTATACATTTACATTATATGTCATGCAAAAGTGTGTGCGGCGGCCTTTAATGCTATCGCACACAAATTGCATAAACTGCATATGCATAGCATAAGACCTTATGGACCAATGAACATCGAGCATGTGATTCAATGCTTGATGCTCATTGGTCCATAAGGTCTTATGCTATGCATAGGCAGCTTATGTAATTTGTGTGCGATATCCTTTAGTCCTAATAACGATGGTTGCTATGTAACATTGTATCATGGTAATGTCATTACGCATATATTTTAACATGTACATCGCTACGTAATGATGGTAACATCATCGTTAAAAGTAACAGACATCGTATAATTCATTTAGTATTATTAATTGTGCATAAAATTGAAATATTATTATAATTATTATATAAATTTGATTCTTTGTGATTTATTAAACTAAACGCTAAATATATATGAAGTTATATGAATAATTTATTTATACTAATTACAATTATATAACTTATAATTAAATATGTGCTTAAATCTATCTTACAATTAAAATATTAATATTAAAGATTGGTAGCAATTGATTTGAAAATAAATAGTAGGTACACTACATACTCTAATTGTGTGTGACAACTTAATTAAAAGGTTATAGATATCGTTACACCTTAAAAGAATTCTTAAAAATTCTTGAAAATTTCTAGCAGCAAAGAAATTATTTGTTTCAATAATATATGAAGTGACAGATAAAATAACAATAAGGTAAATTATTTTGAAATATAATATATCATAAGATCATTACATTGTTCATCAAAACAAGCGTTAACATTGTCGGTAGTTTGCATAGAAGTTGATTTACTGTTTTAAATTTGATGTACTTGAAAATGCAATGACACGAAACGTTGTTGTTGTATTTCAAATAATTATTTATAATAAATTATTGCCAGTCTGGTCGACTTTAAACATTGAGGAGTGGATTTTTAATTAAAATATTGTATACATATATTGTATATTTCGTCTTATAGTCACTTAATTATGATATTTCAAAAAAATTTTCGCTAAATATTTGTTACATATATTAATTACAACTTATATTAATTATTTACAACTTATATTAATTACAACTAAACATTTATATATTTGCTAATATAAACTATTACAAAAAATTATTTTACAATTATTTATATTCCAATTGATTTTTGTTAAAAATATTTATATTATTTATCTTAATAATAATATATTCTTATAAATATATATTCTTACTATATAATATTAAATTTTAGTTGCTATTTATATTTTTATTTTAAAATTGCGTGTGTACGTTACATTGAAATATTTTTTATTTAAAAATTCTAGGATAAAGCTACAAAGAAAATGGATAGCGAATCAGACATTTATCGTGAGTTGTGTGATAATCCAACATTATATGTTTCACCAAGAGAACTTTTCGAAGTTATGTTACCTAATGATGGTACAGTGTAAGTTTTAAAAATTTTTTAATATTTAATTTTTTATTCATAAATTTTTTATTCATATTTATTACTTATTCTCACTATTTCAGTATTATCGTCAAATTTGTAAAATTCTGTCAGTTTAAGAATAAAACTATATAATAGTAGCATAAAATCATATAAATGTAATTGATGTATAAAAGATACATTTATTAAAAATTTTATTGAACTTTTAATTATTTTTTTATTTTTTTAATAAATATAAAATATTAATTGTTTATATATATATATTTTTTTAAGGTGTTTTATCAGTATGGTGGAACAAATCGACAGTACAATTGCTGTTAAAACTAAAAATGGTGAAGTTCAACGTTGTCGAGTAATTTTGACAAATAATAAAGACTGGAAGGTTCAAGTTACTATATGGGGCAATAACATAAATCGAGTTATACATAACTTTAAAACATCATTTGTAAGTTTTTATCACAAAATTAAAATCATTTTATTACAAATGTTTACAACATAAATTAAGACATTATTTTATATATTTGTTATTACATAAAATATTAACTGTTCTTAAAAAATCTTTTTATAAATAATTATAAAATGTAAAAATCAACATAATTTATAAATAATCTTACAATAAAATAAATAATTAATTTTATGATGTCAATTCTATAAAAAATTGAGATAAAATTATTAATAAAAATATTCTATAAAAAATGTTTTTTTTTAATAAAAATTATTAATAATAAAAATTAATAACAAAACTAAATTTTAACATTTAGAAATAATGTTAATTTACTGTTAGTAAAATATTACAAATAAAAAATCAATTTTATAATTTAAAAAAATTATTTACAATTGATCAATTAATTTTGATAACAAATTTTTTAATGTAAATTTATGTTTTTATCTTGAATATAAAAAACTCATATAGGAAAGTTTAAGTTTTATAATAAATAATGTAAAATGACTTTACAAAACACATTTTTTGTTAAAAAATCATTTTTTAATTATAAGTTATAAATATTGTAAAAAAAATTGACTTTTGTTAAATATTTATCTCATTATTTATTTCATTATAAATAATTTTAAAATGTATGTATGTATGTATACATAAAAACATTTCTTATTACAATATTTATAACTTATAATTTTAGAAAATTCTTTTTTAGCAAATATGTTTCAAAGTCATCTTACAACAATTGTTGCAAAATTTAAACTTTTCTATTGATGAACATTTTTAATAATAAATTTCATAATTAATAAGTATTTTATAAAATTAATAATTATATTTTTTATATGTATATAGGTGGTACATGTATCCGGAGCTTTTTCTCAAAAACGTTATTCTAAGAGTTTAGGAAATGTCCCTATGGATTTAACTATCAAAGATTATACAGTTGTGAATGTCATTGGAAAAATTCGAGAATATGAGGAAACTAAAATTTATGAACCAGTTACTATTTCACTAGAGATAGTCACATTTTTCAAGAGTTGCGATGGCTCCCCTGTCAAGCTCATTTTTAAATAATGTAGTTTCTCGACAGCCGATATATCATTATTTTCCATGATCATGGACGTAAACAAATCTCGATAATGACTCCATTGAGCGTAATCACCTGAGAATTTTGGTAAAAATAAATTAATAAAAATTAATTTTTGGCAATAAAGTAACTATTTAAATTTCATCTATACCTGATAGAATCCTTTCAATTTATACACATACACACACACACGCACACGCACTGGCGCGCACACACACACACACACACACGCACGCACACGCACACGCACACGTACTTACGAGTATGCGCGCGCGCGCGCGCACTTATACGCACACTTATACACACATATACATGTTTATATATATATATAAACATGTGTATGTGTGTATAAGTGTGCGTGTGCGCGCGCGCATACTCGTAAGTACGTGTGCGTGTGATTTATTTAGTTACACCCTGTATATATATATATATATATATATATACTGGGTGTAACTAAATAAACATATATGACATATAATACCGAATTCTCTGGCCAATTTGGAAATCATTTTTCCTCAGTGAAAATGTTGAGAAGTCGATAATTTTCGAGTTAAAGCGATTGAAAAAAACGAGTTTCTCGCAAACTAAACTTTGTAGAGTTAAATGGTTAACATAATTATATTCTTCAGTTAATTTCAAGTGGAGTTTACTTTAATAAAATTTTAATTTAAAGCTTAGTTACAAAGATATATACCCATATAGCAAAAAATGTCACAGTGATGTCACAAAGACATTGCTCTGTGACGATAAAATATGTCAAAATAAAATCACAGTGATGTCATAGTGACGTGCGAATGTCCGCTTCGTAACAGATGTGATGTCATCATGACATCATTGTGATAAGAAATGGAATGTTATAGCGATGTAATTTATACAGATGTGATATCACTATAACATCATTGTGATAGGAATGGTATGTTACAGTGATGTAATTTATACAGATGTGATGTCATTATGACATCATTGTAATAGGAAATGGAATGTTATAGTGATATAATTTATACGTCATAAAAGAGTTTTATATAAGAGAGACAAAGATTGGTTTTAATACGAGTAAAAGTACCAATATTTAAAATTAAATTCATAGCAGTGCTATAGCAGTGCTAAAAGGAGAGATAAACGTTCAATACAAGTTTACCGAGCATTTATCTCTTTTTAGTGCTGCTATAAAATATGTTTTTCATTAATTTTAAAGATTATTACTTTTTACTCGTGTTACAATCAACCCTTGTCTCCTCTACGTTTTTCTTTCAAATAAATGTAATTTATTTAATTACATTTTTATTTTTTAAATAATACATATATACGTTCCAAAAAATATAAGCCATATTATTATATATGTACGTGTGTGTGGGTGTGTAACTATCATTTAATACACATTCACGTTAAATCACATCATTTAATCATATTTAATAACTATATCACTAACATATATAATTAATACTTATAATAAATCATTTTTAAAGTAATTTTTTTTAAATTCTAGTTATCTGTTTACGCGAGATAGTTAGGTTTTCAAAGATCCCGGGATTCGCACATGAACTGTATGAAAATCCACGTTCTCACTGGAGACATCAAAATTAACCGAACGATAGGATAGAGGAAAGATGAAAGATCATTGCTTAAGAGAGATGACAAACTGATTTGATCCTTTAAGAGTTTATTTGAGAAACACACAATTGAGATGGAGACAAAAACTGAATTCGAGATACATAGCCTTCGCGCGACAACCTTGCTTGATCAGAGAGCTCAGCTCGACTGCCGTTGACGAGGTGTCGAGAGACAAGAATTCCCCGTCGTAAGGGTGAAAAACGGGGAGCAAGGTATGTTTATTTGAGTGCGAATCAGCTGATCGGTAGCTGATCGCCAGCTGATCGGCAGCGAAAAACAACAAGGAATGTCACGGTCGCGGCATCGTAACAATACGAGACTCGAAAATAATATATTTGTCACGCTGAAATAATTGGCTATACAAAGGCGTGATATATAAATACAATGATCGAAAACTTTAATGCCGAAATATAAGATTGATCGATATGCGATAACTTTTACTTGTCAAACTCCAAACATATCACTTTATCAGAATTATGAAAAAAAATTGATACAATTGTTAGAAAACTTAAATGTGCATAACTTTTTAATATATAGGCATTAATAAAATAAACATAGTGATTGTTAATTTTTTATGCTACAGCTACGCATAAAAGTACTAAAATACTTAGAACTTTAAATTACTTTAATATTCAACTGTATATATTATTATAATTTTTCTCGTTTTATACTATATTTAAAAAATAATATTTAATAATTACTTTATTGCACTTACAACTATGCATATGTATTTAATACTGTAACCATTTAAATAATAAAATATATATATAATTACTGTGTATGAAATTAATACATTCAAAATAAAAAAAGTACATATGCAAAAATAAACTCTATAAAATCTATAAATAAACGTAATAATAATAAACTGTGCAATAAACGTAATAATAAACGTTCAAATATTTTATTTATTATATATTAAAATTATTATATTTAATAACCTGTCCTTTTCTTGTTTAGATCTCCTCATTTTCGCATCTCTTTTTTTGTTCTTCCTTTTTCCTAAAAAGAAATATGTGATTGTTATACATAGGTGCAATAAGTCAATTCTGCAATAAATATTCTATACAAAAATAACAATAAGTTCTTAAATGTTGTATTTAATTTAAAAAAACTAATACACGCAATAATGAACAGATAGTGCATGTGTTCACCCTCTTTAAAATCAGTTTCTTATAAAAATAAAAAGTTTGAGATAAGATGATAAAATAGTTAAATTGAGGTATATTATATATAACTTACAAATCTCGGTCAAATCTCTGCTTGGCTAAAATTAGCCATCTTGCAATTATATCCTCAACTTCCTTATTTGTTAAATTGGTTCTTGAAGTTCGCGCAGCATCTAACAACAAGTTTAAACAGATATGTGTGGTTATAGATTATATAAAAATTTAAAGCGACTTAATTTTATATATATATATATGTATATATGTATATATACTATTCAAAATTATTTTATATTCCTATGATTACATATTATTGAATAATGATATTAGAGTTCTAATAGCATCATCCAATATAACCATGCATAGAATGCTATATATAAAGTGTCAAAAATATGTCAATAAAAACATTTCTGTGATTAAATATTTATATACTTACTTATGATACATATAGTAATGCGAAGATTTTTAAAGGCATTTTTCAATTTTGCACCAGCCCAACTATATTCCATTGCTAATTTATTTGTTAAAATATGTTTCATCATGTACGAAATCACATCATGATGATCCTTACCTCCTAAAAAGCTCAATTGTCTTGTCTAAAAATATAAAATAATTTAATTAATATTAGTTTATGATCTAAAAATATCAAAATAATAAACATTTGTTTTTCTCTTATAAAAAAAGTTAACATTACTTTTCTTTTAACTTCTTTAAAATTATTTAACATTATATAAATAAATAAATATGTCCAAAATATTGCTTTTTATAAGACATTTCAATAAAATGTTTCTAATCGTAAGTATAAAATGATAATATTTTGTATATACCATTTCTGCAGCAACACATTTGTTTTTTAATTGATTATCAATTCTCTGTAATTGTTCTACGGTATCTGCTGGCAAATCGAAATCATAATGTTCATTTTTTTTTAAATCCGTTTCCTCATTTTTTCTTATGTGATTATCCAACTTTATTAAACGTTCATCAATTGTTGTAAGATTTAACAATACTGCATTTAGTTTCCTGATAATTAAATTATGAAAATCTGCAAAAATAATTGACACATATTATTGTATATCTACTCATTGTCAGATTATATAAATATTACGAATTATATACCATTTTAAATATATGTTTACAGTGATATAAATAAAAAAAGTTAAAACTTTAATAATATATATATATAGGTAAGCTTTTACAAAAATTTAAAATTAATAACAGATATATTTTTACCTAAATCAATCTCAGCATTACAAGTATCGGATGTAGATATTGTATCTGAATTTTGTGGAACAAGGTCATCTTTATTTGCTGTTCGATGTTCTTGTGAACTTATAGATTTACTATATGTAACTGCAGACTTTTTAGACTGAATATTAATTATTTTTTCATTACTTATTTGTATCGGAGGCTTAGTTATTTTCTTATAATTTTTTATCAGTGGTTTTTTTATTTCATAAGTCATTTTGCTTTTATTTAAATCGTTTGATATATTAGAAGCTTCATCTAAATCATTGCTTGTGTCAGTTCTATCTGAATTATCAGAAGAACTTGAAATTTTTTTTACTCGATTCATTTTCTTATCACCTTGTATTAATGGTGTCTTTATTTCACAGATTTTGCTCTTATTTATTGTTAAAGCTTTTGGTGTATTAGGAAAATTATCTAACTCTAAATCATTGCGAGTTTTTAATTTATTGATGCTTGTGTCGCTTGTATCAGAATTATCAGGAGATGAACCTGTATTTTTTTTTGCTCGTTGATATCTCGATTTTTTGAGGTTATTTCCATCATCACCATCTATATCGGATATTTGTTCAGCTAATTTAAGTTTGTCTATAGCTTTATCATATGTATCTAAAACGTATAAAATTTTTGAATATTAAAAATTAGATTTTTGTTTTTATATATTTTATAATCAAATATCACTTAAAATTTAAATTTTAATATATACTTTTAATACATATATATTATAATTTTAATTTATATAATTTTTGATAAAAAAATAAAATACATTTTTTATATTACTAACCGCTGCTACCAAAAATACGGATTATTTTATATAATTGCCAATCATCAGAAGGAAATATTCTTTTCATAATTGCTTTATTTATCTTAATTTGACTTGTATATGATGGCCATTTACATTCCTTATTATTTTCAGTTAACCATTCAGAAGGAACAATTTGTAAACCATCTTCGAACTCCACAATATTATACGCCATAATAACTGTAAATAAAAATTGATCAGCATTGAAATT